GTGGCACAGGCATGAGAATTGGACCTTGCGCCATGAGGGGGGTACGGGGCCCATGGCAGATTAGATTCATGGCGGATTTAGTCAGTTGTGTCAGGAACTGGTGGTTTGAAATCCAGACTAATCCACGCCTGATTCATTTTCACAAACGTGAGTCTCTCCACACTTTGGGTGGACAGTCGTGTCCTCCGCGGAGTTACAATACCTCCTGCCGCACTAAACACGCGCGCTCCGATGCCACGCTACTGGCCGGGCATGACAGCCTTTCAAGGGCAAATTCAGCTAGTTGGGGCAAAGGTCAAGTTTCGTTGCCCAGTAGTCAAGGGGATTGTCTACCTCGGTTGGCAGGACCGTGCTGTCCAAGTAGGCCCAAGCCTGTTGTTTGAGGTCCTGCTCCAGGTCCACCTGATGCTGCTGCTGCTGCTGCGGCTGGTTAGTAGTTTCCTCACTGCGCTGGTGAAGAAAGCTACTCATCATCGACTGCAGACTGAGGCAGCCGCTGCTGGTGGAGCTGCCACTGCTCCTACCACCCCACCCCTCCCCTGCTGCCATGGCAGCGGAACGCGAGCGCACAGGGCCCACAGTGTCTGAGGATGGACGTTGGCGCAGAAAGGCAGAGACCAACTGACTACATAGGTGGTTTTTATAGTACGTTATTTTGGCCTCCCTCTCAGCAGGTGTGAAAAAGGCCACCATTTTTGAACGGTAGCGAGGGTCCAACAAGGTGGACAGCCAAAAGTCATCCCTCTGTCTGATGGTTATTATTCGGCTGTCGCTACGCAAGCAACCGAGCATGCTATGGGCCATTTGTGCCAAGGAATGCGAGGGGACTCCCTGCCTCCATCTCCACAGCATACTGCCACGGTGCGTCTGGGTCCTCTGTCTCCTCCTCCTCCTCCTCTACCAGATGCTCCTGCTCCTCCACTCCTGTCCGCTGAGTGGAAAAACCACCCATTTCACTCAATAATTCCCTGAGCACAAATGTCCTCCTCTACCTCCTCTCTTCTTCCTGTCCTGCCCCCACAGGGGTCATGTGGCGTTGAGATCTGTGCGCCACGTCTACCGCACCCTGACCAGCCATTGTTAACAGCATTTGTTCCAGGACGTGCAACAGAGGAATGACGTCGTTCATCCCATAGTCCTGCCGACTCACGAATAGCGTGGCCTCCTCAAAGGGCCTGAGCAAGCGGCAGGTGTCACGCATGAGCTGCCAATGGCTGACATCGAAGTTACACAGGGGAGTACCTTTATCCGCTTGTAACATCAGGAAATCGGTGATGGCCTTTCGCTGTTCGTAAAGGCGGTCTAACATGTGTAGGGTTGAATTCCACCTTGTTGCAACGTCGCAGATCAGGCGATGCTGTGGAATTCCGTTCTGCCGCTGCAGCTCAAGGAGGGTGTGCTTTGCGGTTAGGAATGGCTGAAATGCATGCAAGGTTTACGTGACATTTTAAGGATGTCTTGCAGTGGGATGGTGGATTTTAGGAACCGCTTGGCAACCAGATTGAACACGTGAGCCATGCATGGCGCATGGACACAACCTTCTTGGACGCAGAGCAGACACCTGTTCTTTCCGTTGTCGGTCAACATGGTTCCGATTTTCAATTTTGCGCTGAGACAGCCATCTGTCGATTTCTCTGTTCATTACACTGAGAAGTTCCTCCCATGTGTGACTACGTTCGCTGGACCTGGCAGCAGCATGAGGAGGCGGTACAGGGGCCCATGACAGATTAACAAAAGGGCCTGGCAGCAGCTATGGGAGGCCCGTAATCTGCCAGCACCCTATGACAAAAAATGGAAACACACCAGCAGTGTGTGAGGAGACCTGAAAGTGGCACATGGCAGAGTGTGGCGATGGAGGGACAGCAGCAATGGGAGGCCGTACAGGGACCCATGAGAGACTCTGGACCTGGCTAGCAGCATGAGGAGGCGGTACAGGGGCCCATGGCAGATTAGGGGCCTGGCAGCAGCTATGGGAGGCCGTCCCGTAATCTGCCAGCACCCTATGACAAAAAATGGAATCACACCAGCAGTGTGAGGAGACCTGAAAGTGGCACATGGCATGAGACACTGTGGACCTGGCAGCAGCATGTGAGCGGAGGCAGGGGGTTACAGAGGCCCATGGCAGATTAGGGGCCTGGCAGCAGCTATGGGAGGCCCGTAATTTGCCAGCCACCCTATGACAAAAATGGGAACACACAGCAGTGTGAGGAGACCTGAAGTGGGCACATGGGACATGACACTGTGGACATGGGCAGCAGCAATGAGGAGGCCCGGTAATCTGCCAGGGGCCCATGGCAAGATTAGGGGCTCTGGCAGCAGCTATGGGGAGACCGTAATTTGCCATGCACCCTATGACAAAAAATTGAACTCACCAGCAGTGTGAAGGAGACCTGAAAGGGGCATGCATGGCGATGAGATACTGTGGACCTGGGCAGCAGCATGAGGAGGCAGACAGCATGAGGTACAGGGGCCCATGGCAGATTAGGGGCCTGGCAGAGCAGCTATGGGAGGCCCGTAATCTGCAGCACCCTATGACAAAATGGAACACACCAGCAGTGTGTGAAGGATACCTGAAAGTGGCACATGGCAGAGTGTGGCGATGGAGGTTCAGCAGCAATGGGAGGCCGTACAGGGACCCCATGAGACACTCTGGACCTGGCAGCAGCATGAGGAGGCGGTTATAGGGGCCCATGGCAGATTAGGGGCCTGGCAGCAGCTATGGGAGGCCCGTAATCTGCCAGCACCCTATGTCAAAAAATTGAACACACCAGCAGTGTGTGAGGAGACTGAAAGTGGCACATGGCAGAGTGTGGCGATGGAGACAGCAGCAATGGCGAGGGCTCCGTACAGGGGACCCTATGAGACACTGTGACCTGGCAAGCAGCATGAGGAGGCGGTACAGGGGCCCATGGAAGATTAGGGGCCTGGCAGCTAGCTATGGGAGGCCCGTAATCTGCCAGCACCCTTATGACAAAAAATTGAACCCGCACCAGCAGTGTGAGGAGACCTGAAAGTGGCACATGGCAGAGACACTGTGGACCTGGCAGCAGCAATGAGGAGGCGGTTTACAGGGGCCCATGGAGACTTAGGGGCCTGGCAGCAGCTATGGGGAGGCCCGTATCTGCCAGCACCCTATGACAAAAAATTGAACACACTCTTGGCCAGCAGTGTGAGGAGACCTGAAAACATGGGTGCACATGGCTGAGACACTGTGGGAACCTGGCAGCAGCATGAGGAGGCGGGTACAGGGGCCCATGGCAGATTTAGGGGCCTGGCCAGCAGCAGCAATGGGAGGCCATACTAATCTGCCAGCACCCTATGGACAAAAAATGGTGGAACACACCAGCAGTGTGAGGAGACCTGAAATGTGGCACATGGCATGAGACACTGTGGACTGGCCCCTGCAGCATGAGGAAGGCGGTACAGGGGCCCATGGCAGATTAGGGGCCTGGCAGCAGCTATGGGAGGCCGTAAATCTGCCAGCACCCTATGACAAAAATTGGAAACACCAGCAGTGTGTGAGGAGACCTGAAAGTGGCACATGGAGAGTGTGGCGATGGAGACAATGCCCACGACTGTTTGCTCGGCATTGCCAACAGCTCTGCCACCCTCTTCTCCTGATGATGCGGAAGCAATTCTATGTAGGGGCCTGATGGACGACGAGGCTGTTGCCAAGTGCGATCAGGAGCCTCATCATCATCAATTAGGGTCTCCGCCTCACTACTGAGCCCCATCGGCTGCATGTGGGTCAGGAGACAGACCTGGTCTCTGACCAGCTACCGAGCCACTCTCTCGCCACTAAGAATTCTGTCGCCTGGCTGCATGAAGAGGCGGATGTCTCCCCCCGTTCCTGACCGCCCTCTGTTTAGCTCTTCCATCACTGTACTGGTGATGGCCAGCGGGAGCACTGGCCTCTGGCTGCGAATAGTGCTGCCTCGACCCCTTCACTCTGCTGACCACGTCTGCTCGCTCTAAAACATTGCCTCCTCTGCCACTCTTCTCTGCAAGTTGTCTGACATAACTCTTGAATTACAACGATTCTGTGTCCCTGAGTATACAATTCTGTATCTGTCCCCGAGTAACAATTCTGTGTCCTGAGTAACGTTTCTGTGGCCCTAAGTAACAAAGTTCTTGTGGCCCTCAGTAACATTTCTGTGTCCCTCAGTAACAATTTTCTGTGTCCCTCAGTAACATTTCTGTGTCTGTCCATGAGTATACAATTCTGTGTCTGTCCACTGAGTAACAATTCTGTGTCCTGAGTAACGTTTCTGTTGGCCCTAAGTAACAGTTCTGTGGGCCCTCAGTAACAATTCTGTGTCCCTCTGTAACAATTGATGTCTTTCAGTAACAAATCTGTCCCTGGTGAGTAACAATTCTGTGTCCCTGGATTAACAATTCTGTGTCTGTCCCTCAGTAACAATTCTGTGTCCCTCAGTAACACAATTTTGTGTCCCTGCAGTAACAGTTCTGTGTACCCCCCCCCAGTAACTAATTCTGTGTCCCTCAGTAACAATTCTGTGTCCCTGAGTAACAATTCTGTGTCTGTCCTGAGTAACAATTCTGTGTCTGTCCCTGAGTAAACAATTTCTGTGTCCCTAAGTTCCCAATGTTTCTGTGGCCCTAAGTAACGTTTCTGTTCTGGCCCTAAGTAACGTTTCTGTGGCCCTAAGTAACGATTTCTGTGGCCTAAGTAAAATTTCTGTGGCCCCAAGTAACGATTCTGTGGCCTAAGTACACGTTTCTGTGTCCCTATGTAACGTTTCTGTGGCCCTAAGTAACGTTTCTGTGGCCCTAAGTAACAGTTCTGTGGCCCCTCAGTAACAGTACAGTTCTGTGGCCCTCAGTAACAATTCTTGTGTCTGTCCCTGAGTAACGTTTCTGTGTCCCTAAGTATACGTTTCTGTGTCCCTAAGTAACGTTTCTGTGGCCCCCAAGTAACGTTTCTGTGGCCTAAGTTAACGGTTCAGTGGCCCTCAATAACAATTCTGTGTCCCTCAGTAAACAATTCTGGGATCTGTCCCTAAGTAACAAATTCTGTTGCCCTAAGTAACGTTTCTGTGGCCCTAAGTACCCGTTTCTGTGGCCCTAAGTAACGATTCTGTGGCCCTATGTAACGTTTCTGTGGCCCTATGTAAGTAAACGTTTCTGTCGGCCCTCAGTAACAAATCTGTTTCCCTCAGTAACAATTCTGTGTCTGTCCCTAAGTAACGTATTCTGTGGACCTAAGTAAGACGTTTCTGTGGCCCTAAGTATCGGTTCTGTGGCCCTCGTAACAATTCTGTGTTCCCTCAATAACATTTCTGTGTCTGTCCCTAAGTAACAATTCTGTGGCCCTAAGTAACGTTTCTGTGGCCCTAAGTAACGATTCTTTGGCCCCTAAGTAACGTTTCTGTGGCCCTAAGTAACGTTTCTGTGGCCCTAAGTAACAAAATCTGTGTCCCTCAGTAACAATTCTGTGTCTGTCCTATAAGTAACAATTTGTGTGGCCCTAAGTAACGTTTCTGTGGCTCCTAAGTAACGTTTCTGTGGCCCTCAGTAACAATTCTGTGTCCCTCAATAACAATTCTGGGTCTGTCCCTAAGTAACAATTCTGTGGCACTAAGTAAACGTTTCTGTGGCCCTAAGTAACGTTTCTGTGGCCCTAACTAACGATTCTGTGGCCCTAAGTAACGTTTCTGTGGCCCTAAGTAAACGTTTCTGTGGCCCTCAGTAAGAAATCTGTGTCCCTCAGTAACAATTCTTGTGTCTGTCCTAAGTAACAATTCTGTGGCCCTAAGTAAACGTTTCTGTGGCCCTATAGTAACGGTTCTGTGGCCCTCAGTAACAATTTTGTGTCCCTCAATAACAATTCTGTGTCTGTCCCTAAGTAACAATTCTGTGGCCCTAAGTAACGTTTCTGTGGCCCTAAGTAACGATTCTATGTGGCCCTCCTCAGTAACAATTCTGTATCCTCAGTAACAATTCTGTGTCTGTCCCTGAGTAACAATTCTGTGTTTCCCTAAGTAACGTTTCTGTGGCCCTAACTAACGATTCTGTGGCCCTAAGTAACGTTTTCTGTGTGGCCCTTCAGTAAACAATTCGCCGTGTCCCTCTCAGTAACAATTTCTGTGTCTGTCCCTAAGTAACAATTCTGTGGCCCTAAGTAACGTTTCTGTGGCCATAAGTAACGTTTCTGTGGCCCTAAGTAACGTTTCTGTAGTCGCCTTAACAAGTAACGTTTCTGTGGCCCTAAGTAACACGTTTCTGTGGCCCTAAGTAACATTTTCTGTGGCCCTAAGTAACAGTTCTGTGGGCCCTCAGTAACAAGTTCTGTGGCCCCTAGTAACAATTCTGTGTCCCTCAGTAACACAATTCTGTGTCTGTCCCTGGAGTAACAATTCTGGTGTCCTAGTAACGTTTCTGTTTTCCCTAAGTAATCGTTTCTGTGGCCCAAGTAACGTTTCTGTGGCCCTAAGTAATGCGTTCTGTGGCCCTCAATAACAATTCTGTGTCCTCAGTAACAATTCTGTGTCTGTCCCTAAGTAAACAATTTCTGTTGCACTAAGTAACGTTTCTGTGGCCCTAAGTAACGATTCTGTGGCCCTAAGTAACGTTTCTGTGGCCCTCAGTAAACAAATCTGTGTCCCTCAGTAACAATTCTGTGTCTTTCCCTAAGTAACAATTCTGTGGGCCCTAAGTACACGTTTCTGTGGCCCTAAGTAACGGTTCTGTAGCCCTCAGTAACAATTCTGTGTCCTCAATAACAATTCTGTGTCTGTCCCTAAGTAACAATTCTGTGGCCCTAAAGTAACGTTTCTGTGGGGGGTGGGTGGGGGGGCCCTAAGTAACGATTCTTTGGCCCTAAGTAACGTTTCTGTGGCCCTAAGTAACGTTTCTGTGGCCCTAAGTAACAAAATCTGTGTCCCTCAGTAACAATTCTGTGTCTGTCCCTGATGTAACAATTCTGTGGCCCTAGTAACGTTTCTGTGGCCCTAAGTAACGGTTCTGTGGCCCTCAGTAACAATTCTGTGTCCCTCAATAACTATTCTGTGTCTGTCCCTAAGTAAACAATTCTGTGGGCCCTAAGTAACGTTTCTGTGGCCCTCCACTAAGTAACGTTTCTGTGGCCTAATAACGAATTCTGTGGCCTAAGTAACGTTTCTGTGGCCTAAGTAACGTTCTGTGGCCCTCAGTAACAAAATCTGTTTCCCTCAGTAACAATTCTGTGTGTGTCCTGAGTAACTGTCCCTAAGTAACAATTCTGTGGCCCTAAGTAACGTTTCTGTGGCCCTAAGTAACGGTTCTGTGGCCTCAGTAAACAATTCTGGTGTCTTTCTCAATAACAATTCTGTGTCTGTCTGTTGCTAAGTAACGTATTCTGTGGCCCCTAAGTAACGTTTCTGTGGCCCTAATGTAACGATTCTGTGGCCCTCAGTAACAATTTTCTGTATCCCTCAGTAACTAATTCTGTGTACTGTCCCTGAGTAACAATTCTGTGTCTGTCCCTAAGTAACATTTCTGTGGCCCTAACTAACGATTCTGTGGCCCTAAGTAATGTTTCTGTGGCCCTAAGTAACGTTTCTGTGGCCCTCAGTAAACTAAAACATCAGTTAAAATTAAAAAAATATCTGTGTCCCTCAGTAACCATTCTGTGTCTGTCCCTAAGTAACAATTCTGTGGCCCTAAGTAACGTTTCTGTGGCCCTAAGTAACGGTTTTGTGGCCCTCAGTAACAATTCTGTGTCCCCATCAAACAATTCTGTGTCTGTCCCTAAGTAACAATTTCTGTGGCCCTAAGTAACGTTTTCGTGTGGCCCTAAGTAAAAAACGTTTCTGTGGCCCTAAGTAACGATTCTTGTGGCCCTCAGTTAACAATTCTGTATCCTCAGTAACAATTCTGTCTGTCCCTGTGTATGTGAGTAACAATTCTGTGTCCCTAAGTATCGTTTCTGTATCTGTGGCCCTAACTAACGATTCTGTGGCCATAAATAACGTTTCTGTGGCCCTAAGTAACGTTTCTGTGGCCCCTAAGAGTAACGATTCTGTGGCCCTAACTAACGTTCTGTGTCCCTAAGTAACGTTTTTCTCTGTCCCTAACTCTCTCCCTGAATACAGCCAGGTCTGCCTCTGTTGAATGACTGGAGGCAAATGGAGAATTCTAAAATGGCCGCCATTTTATAGCTCGACCATTACACTGTGCTGGCTGGCTGGCTGCAGATTGGCTAATGCGATCACATGTCATGAAATGAATGCATTTTATGGGTCAGCGCGCCTTGTCTGCGCGCCTTCCCAGACATCCCCGCTCCGTCGCCGCACATGTCGCCGCCATTTTAGGAAAAATTTCGATTCGCGCATCCGAAGTCTGCTTATTTTCGGATTCGAAATTTTCCTAATATTCGAAACGAATTCCACTTCGCCTACTTCGATTCGCTCATCTCTACTCCTTAGTTATGATTGTGCTAATATGGGGTTTTAGGAGTAGTTACTCTCTACAACCATTGTTTGTTTTTACGGCATATTTCTTTCTACTGTTCACCTGTTTGCAAAATATTCCTGGCTACAGTTTAACTGTCTGCTTTATCATTGCTATTGTTTCATATTTCTTTTCCTACCAGGGTACCAGGGTACAGTACATCTGCAATACATAGTCCCTAACCAGCCAGATTTGTCAGAGTGTGTGGTACTATTTACAGAGCTATGGGCACAGGAACAGGGGACCCAATACATCCAACAACTCCTTTGGGGGTAAGCGCTGCATCAGCTTGGAGATGGGCTGATCAGTTAGAATGGTATTTCTTTCTGATGCCAGCTTTTGCCAGGTGCATTAAACCTGAAGTAATGGATGTATTTACTGCACATGATCTTTGATTGTACTCTGAGCATGGCTATGGTGCAATTTTGATTACATGGCTTCAAGGTATATGGCGCTTTTCTACCATATTTGAAGAGCACTCCACTATAGCCATCTAGTTAAGGATTTTTTTAAAGTTCAGTCATAATATTTGCTTTCCATTTAGATCTTCATCATCATATTGCACCAGTTACTAGGTGTTAAGTGTGCTTGCAGAAGCTCTTGGAGGTGTGCCTGTTCCATGGGAGGAGAGGTGTCCCTCCCCCTTAGTCCTCACCTGGGTCATTGTTTTTGGGCCTATTATTACCCCTATTACTCCTGAGGAAGAGTAACTTTGCAGTCCAGGAAACACATTGAGATTTAAACAGCTCATCATAACCACCATAAGAGAATCTATGAAAGGTATTTGTGGGGTTATCCATTATGCATGAGTGTTGGATTAACTACAGCGGATGATAGAGCACACAAATATTTGAGGTCATTTACTTCCATTGATGTAATTTCATTATGATAGGTTTTAATGAAAGGGTTGTGTTAATAAAGACAATTTTTTTTTTATGAATTTTGTGTTGTGAGTTGTGATTGTGTGGTTCCTCAAGAGTCTTGCCATCCATCTATTTAGTAAATGAGTATCACTATTTACACACACTATCAAATATCTTTGGGTACATAGCAGAAGTAACACCCATGTACAAATGTGAACATCCTGGGGCTTAATTTTTACCCCCACCCCATAAATAAAAACTGCTAATGAAAAAGCTACAAAAGAATACTGTATATTAGATGAAAAAGGAAAAGCTGTTTACATTGGACCCCATCACGGGCAGACTGACCATTTGGAATCTCGGGCACTGCCTGAGGGCCCGGGGTCAATAGGGGGCCCCATGAGATGCCCCTGGTACCTTTTTCATAGGCTTTTTTGAGTTTGTGCAAGAGCACAGGGGCCCCATGATCCCCTATTGCCCGAGGGCCCCATGAGTTGTCAGTCCGCCCCTGGACCCCAGTATACATCCACTTCATGTAGTGGTGCTAAATCTCCCAGAAGGCAGAAGTGAAGCCCAGTGACATCACCAGTGCCTACAGAAAAGAGATGAAAGCCCGGGTTCAGGCACTCCCTATTGTAGAGTGTGAATGCAGTGTCCCCTGCCTCCCAATTGCACCTCTGCGATGTCACCTGAGCTTCGGGTGGGCTTCGGATGGACTACAAGTAGCTGTTTCACATTAAACAAAAATGGCCCACTGTTGTCATCAGTAAACCTGCTCTAAGAAAGCATGGCTGTAGGAAATTGGTAGCACTGAGATGTAACAAAAAGATGAAAAAAGGTGAAAACAAATATTTTATCAAAAAGAAAATAGCAATTGTGTATTACATACAGTGCTTCAGCCAACTCAATCAATTTATCAATTTTTTTTGATAACTCAAGAATTACACAACTTTAACCCGATAAACAATTACAAGTCAATTAAAAAATTAGGTTGATTTACTAAAACTGGAGAGTGCAAAATTTGGTGCAACTGTGCATGGTAACCAACCAGCTTCTAACTTTAGCTTCTTCAATTAAAATGTATTACTAAACCCATGAGCTTGCATTCACTATATCTGGTATCCCACAGTACACAAAACATGGAAATGCTTCCATCCAAGCACTGGTTAAAGCTGGTAGGAGTAGTTTTCATTCTCCTCTGAGTGTCCTATGAGGCTGCATGACCCCTGACCCTCTGTCTGGACAGTGCTGAATGGCCTTGTGCTGATCACATGCACCCACCCAAGAAAAAAACTCTCTAGCAATACACACCAAACTGAACATGTGCAAACTGCTACCTAGGGATCTGTACTGTCATCATATGGGTTGGGGACTGCAGATGAGGGGAGGAAGAGAGAAGACAGGATCAAGTTGCCTTTTTACACAATGCAGAGGTTTAACCCTTAGGTTCCACAGTGAGTATAACAAGCATGCTTTGCTGCATATACAGACTGATTGTACTGTTCTGGGTTTAGTAACACTTTAAGCTTTGAAAAAAAAAAAACTGGAAGCTAATTGGTTTCTTTGTAGAGCTGCAACAGATTTTGCATGCTCCAGCTTTAGTAAATCAACCCCAATGTGTGATTCTTGGGGTAGGAAGGAAACTTTGATAATCTGGTATTTAGTTAGGGTTTACAACCACTTTAACTGCTTCCGCACCGCCCTATAGCAGAAGTGCCACTACAGGGTGGCACAGGTGCGCAAAATCATGTATATATACGTAATCTTTCAGTTCCAGGTAGGGGGCACATGTGCCCTACCTGTGCCGCCATTTGTGGCCTCGGCTGTCAATCATGAAGTCCCGGCTGCTGATTTTTTGCCGGCACCCAGTGATCGCGAGTATCTCTGATGGGGGAGAGCCCTGTGTATAAACAACACAGATCTTTCCCCTGGCAGCTCCTGCACACGGCTTTGTATGGCTTTGCATTTCAGAGCCATACAAAGCAGCGTGCTTACAGTGAAAAGCACTCATACAGCATACTCTGCAACAGCACACCACACACAGTTAACCCTTTGATCGCCCCACATGTTAACTCCTTCCTGCCTAGTGTCATTAGTACAGTGTCAGTGCTTTGTGTCAGTGCTAAAAAATGCACAGGCGATCAAATACCACTGAAAGAAAGCTCGATTTGTGGGAAAAAAAAGGACGTAAATTTAATTTGGGTGAAGCGTTGCATGACCGCTCAATTGTCAGTTAGAATAATGCAGCGCCCTATCGCAAAAAATGGCCTGGTCAGAAAGCGGGTAAATCCTCAGAAGGGCAAGTGGTTAAAGCAGAGCTCCACCCAAAAGGGGAAGTTCAGCTTTAAGGACTGCTCCCCCGTTCCCCATTAAGGATTGGCACCTTTGGGGAGCGGGTACCCAAATTTGACAGGTACCCGCTCCCATTTCCAGTCTGATCGGAAGCGGAAGTTGTCCTCCCTGTAGTCTTTTGGGACACGTGACAGGTCCCAGAAGACTACAGGACCATTCATGAAGTGCAGATCTACTCAAGCTGTCACAGCCGGGTGCCGGGTGCCCACACTGAAGATGCGGCCTGTGAAACGGACTGCGGGGGACACACTGCGGGACCGAGGGACAGGTAAGTGGCTGTTTTTTAAAGTCAGCAGATACAGTTTTTGTAGCTGCTGACTTTT